ATCCTCTTAAACATGTTGATACAACCACATGACAAACTGTCAAATTACTTAGGAATGCTACTCCCCTATATAAGTCGGCTTACCTAAGCAAGTACAGTTTCATATTCATTTTCTTCTTCGCAGCATCTAGTATCAGTCATGCCTGATTAAAAACAATAAGCTCAAGAATAATCCTTATCAGCACAGAAAACTTTAAAAGCTTCAGGCACAAAACAAAAAGTAAGAAAAATACGGAAGGCAAATATCTATCACTTGGTTTTGGGGTCAAGATCAAGATTCAAATCCAAGCAATAGCTAACAAGTCATCATATAATAAGGTACTTAAGGAACGCCACCCCTTCATCAGCTCAGCATAATCAAACAGTAGTCAAGATAGTTTAGAATTTAGATGAGATTAAAAAAAGCAAGGTTTTTTATGTGAGGAAAAACAGCATTAAAATCTACAGTACAGGTGTTTGCTACACCCCTATGCCTTAAGCATGTTTGGTTCTGGGTCTATTCAAGATTTACAACCATTTCTCTATACTGCATTCCAATACCAAGGGAAATATACTAGAAACAGATGATAGCACTCAAAAATGCAAAGTAAGATTGAGGATAAGGAAAAAGAGAGAGAGAGAGAGAGAGAGAGAAAGAAAGAAAGAAAAGAATGATGTAGCTTCAGGTGATAAGAGTTTCTTTGTTGCCAGAATCAGAGGATTGTAGCTCACATCCTCAAATATATTTGATGCAATTGTCCCTGGCCTTTATCTTATAGACTTCAGCATTAAATTTGAAAAGAATGGTAAAAGACTCGAGTTGGCACATTTTACAATAATAGAAAACAAATATTATATTATATTACACATTTAATAAGTTAAAAAATGATCACAAAACAAAACTAATAATATATTGTCAAACAAGCATGGGATATTGTTAAACAAGATACCTGTGGCGATCATGATCCTTGGAGCATTCCCTAGACCTAGAATGTGACCTATGGCGACTTCTAGAATCATAAGTCTGAGAGCAGTCATAATCCCTATCACGTTCTTGATCACTATACCTGTCATGATCTCTACTCCTATGATCATAATACCTCCCTCGATCTCAGTCCCGACTTGGTTCTCTCTCATGATCTCTGCTTCTTTCTTTCGATCTATAGACCACCAAGAAGAAGGAAATCACAACACCCACCTCACCACCCAATGGTTTACCAAAAGGAAAAAAGGAAAAGAAACCATGTGAGGATTACCTCCTGTTATCATACTGGTCAAGTTTGTGGCTCTTGTTTCTGTCTTCCTGAGAAAACAATAATCACCAAATAGTACTGAATGCTTCTTTCAAAAAGCTAAATGCCACTTCAATTTAGCTAAATTCAACATGCCATAAGGACCATCAGGAAAAAATTCTAATGGTGGTAGGCATAATTAGTAGACAACTTACCCTGACCAAACTAGGCCTTCATCAGATTTATTGTCACAGATTTTAAACAAATCATAAGCTCTTTTTTTTTTTCTTACATTACTAACAACAAAACCCTTAATACTTCTCTCCTACTTGATTTCATGTTTCCTTTTTCTTTCTTTCATTCATTCAGCAGAAAAAACTAGTCGATCAAAATTGGTTGAGCACCAAGACATTTCATATTTGATGCATTTTAAGCCCAATATGCACAGACAAGGTAGAAAATACTATGTTTTAAAGTCCAGCATCTACAAACAATCAAAAGAAATTGAAAAATGGGAGATATTATTCTTCACAGATGACACTAACTGAGAATCTGTATAGAAGAATGAGAAACATTATACCAGCACGTGACCAACATATTCACAATACAAACTTAAGGGGATCTGGAAAAGATGAATTAATTTGCTGTTTTACTAGAATCCATTAGGTAATGGCATTCAAATAAAGTTATGATTATTTTAAAAAATAATAATAATAAACATAGTAAGTGAATGGTTCAGGCAATTTATACAACCAACTTGTTGGATGCCAGGTACTATCCCTAGCCTAATGTAACACTCAAAGTAGAGCCACCATAGACAGTCAGCATATACTAAGCATGTAAATCATCTTACTTGAAGTTCTGCTAATTTATCATGGATTTGCATATAGCCTAAATGAAGTTTGCCTCCAAAAATTATCTGCTAAACGTCAGTCACTGAAAGGAACAAGAAAAATCAAATCACTTTGACCTAGAAACTTAAAAAAAGAGAAAATATATATATTGCAGTAGTATGCATTATAGATTATACAGTTTCCCAAATATTTATTATCTAACAATTGCATGATCCACAAGTACAAAAACAGAAAAAGATGCACATTATGCAGCTGCAAAAGTTATCCTCGTAAAACTGGGCCCAAAAGCCTGCTGGTGACAAGGAGGTATAATAACCGGGTCAAAAGCTGAAGCACTAGAAACCCCAAACACTAACTTTTTGAAGCCCTTAGAAAGAGGATAAAAGGCTATGATCAAGAAGTAGAAGATAAATCTACCCGTCATAAACACTCAAATGCTCGACAAATATCACAAACACGTAGCTTTTGATCAGTCTGAAACAAAATTGGATCAAAAAGGTTAGAGCAGATAGAATATTAACATATAAATAGACTAAAAGAAAATTAAACTAAAAAAATCAAATTATGACAGGGGACTGTTCATGCATTAATTATGCAAATTAAATTCATATTTTCCCAATAAGGTCCAAGCGTGTCTAAGTTTTCTTATCTAGTTTTTATCATAGTTTTCCTTCTGTGAAACTGGAAAAAAGAAAAACAGAACTCACAATGCGAACATTGGCAGCAGTATACTTTGAGGAATCCAGAACAGGCTCCTGTCTGGCAGAGAGCTGAACATATATGGAAAAACAATTATCCACAAATAAGGCATACCAAGAAGAAGGAAATGGTGCAAGTTAATAAAAATCAATTTACAGAAATAACACTATTAAATTCAGAAATTGAAACCTTCTTGAGTGCTTCAGCCTCTTTTAATGCTTTTTGTGCCTCGTCTACCATCCCCTTCTCACCTAAACAACAATAAGAGAGCAAGAGAGACTATTAATAAAACAAAGATAAGTACATCATGTACCATTGAAAACTTTGTTCAACACAGTTCAATGAAACACAGATAAGTACAGTTTTCAAACAAATAAAATAGATTTCCAAATAACTAAAATCCAAATCCCAAGGAACCCTTTCTTAATACAACTGCCAGCCTTTTCCATAGATATCAATCAGAAAGACTATTGATTTTGGGCTAACATTATGGACAATAAGCCATTTCATTTGCAAGCAAGTCTTCAGTTTATCAATTTATTAGTGTCATTATCATTTCATCTTTATCATTAAGAGATATTTGGGTAACTAAATTCTTTTAATAGCCTCTGTATATTTTAAATGAAACCACCCTAAAGGTATTGTTAATGTAAGGCACTGAGTGTTAATTGAGAAAACAGTAAAGCACTGAGTCATTATCAACCATGGACAACTGTTTTGGAAGGGCAGGGGAAATAAATTTTATGACATTGACAATTTTTTTATAGGAAAAAAGGTAAAAGCACAAACAGGAATGAACATAGATTGGCATAATAAATATACCTCAGAAACAACTTAAGGATTACTGCTATTCCATTTCTAGGAATTTAAAGACAATAGCATCCAAAAAATGTTATTTAAGACAAGCTAGCTGATAGATATCTATCGTCAAGAACTCAAGATGTTTTTCTCCTTGTTTTGCATACATGAAAACCAGAGTTCAGGTAACCTGAGTCTTACCAAGATCCTCAGCTTTCTTAAGCTTCTCATTTATCATTTCTTGGGTCCGAGGATCAGGTGCAGGCACAGGCGGTGGTGCCAGAGATGGCGGGTTTGGCAATGGTTGGGGCAAAGATGCCCTATCTTTATTGAATGCATCCAAAAGCAGTGTTGACTATAACAATAGACAGAAACATCCTATATACCAAGAGACTAAATGTTACACAAGAATCAAATTATGAGGAACTTAATACACAGTCAATATCAAAAATCCTGATATGAATAAATCAATACTTTCAGAGACCCATTCAAATCCTACATCTAAAGAAGCTATCAAGTGCCTGTTTATCTGCTCTTTTAGTTCTAAGCTCTTCTACTTCTTCTAGAGCTTGTATTTTAAGATCTGTCTTGCCTTCAAGATCTGCAAATCAAAAAGAAATCATGTACGCCCCAAAGCTAATCGTAAAATTTACACAATTCATCCACAGTAAATATTAAGACAAAGGACTAAGAAAATATTATGCAACATAATTGTTGTTATGTACAACATTTAGCATTTTCCACAAAAAACTTGTAAAAAGACTTCAAAAATCAAATATGATATGGCTTACTGGGAAGTCATCATGTCAAGCAATGTAATATTACGGATTTGATATAATCACTGAAACCAATCATATATTAAACTCCCTAACAAGAGAAATTTCTCAAGAATTCTCAAAAACCCATTTACAAAGGCTGTGACAAAAGTGAAAGTGGGACACATTACTTTGTCATGCTAATCTATCATTTAAAGGCACACCGAATGATGTGAATGGTTCACCATTCTTTGGTATCATTGTCCAGGTCCTCCAAAATATGTGAGGAGACATAGCCTTTGGTTGAATTCAACCATATTGATTTAATCTTAACCATGCAAACAAGTCAACCAGACAAATGGATATTCTAAGCCAGTCTCCTCTCACTAAAAATGCTGATTGAATCATTTAATTATTCTTTTTATAACAACTTAAACACCTTAGAGTTGAAATAATGGGGAAAGCATTCAAACTCCAACTATGGTTATCCCCCCGTACCATATAATCAAAATCTTAAAATTTATGAAATCTATTGAACCTACAAACAAAAACTTCACATTAATTGTTGTATATTTGGACAGCACCCTGAATCAATTAATTCAAGAATAACCAAGTTAAATCAAAGAAAACAAATCAAGTACTCGCCATCAATTGGCAAGGCAGAAAACACATCTTTGTTCCAATTCAAGAGTCACACCTCATACATATAAATCTCAATAGAAAATACTAGCAGCCTGCCCAACCCCCACCCCCTCCTTTTATACATAACCTTCAAAAGGCAATTAGAAAACAAGGAATTCAAGCATAAAAGTGAAATAAAATCTCAAACTCAACATCAAAAGTAGATAGATTTCAACAAAAATTGAATCATAAAAGCTTACCTAATAACACAGGAAGCGAGTTGCTTCCTATGTTACTTTAACTTTTAAAAAAAGATCAATAAATAAAAATTTTCTCATAAGAAAATATCTTAGGTGATAACTTAGAGACAGCCCTGAAAAAATAAAAGACAAGCTAGTGCAAATTGCAAAAGTATGATACCATATTGATCAGCTCCTTTCAATATCTCCTTAATCTGCTTTGAAAGCTCTAGTAATTCTGGTCTGTTACATCAACATAGAAAATAAATAAATCTGTAAATCCCAAGTGGGAGAAAGGTCAGACAGAAAATTAAGACTTATCCAAAACCTGAGTGACTTCAGAGACTGATATAGCAATAGCGGCCTTTGCATCCTCATCTTCAAGACGCTTGAGAGCTGTACCAATTTTCCTATCTCAGTCAACAATGAGCCAGTCAATAGCATCTTCCAACTCTCTGTCATAATTATCAATGCCTTTTGCCTTAGCTTCTTCATATCTAAGAAGGGTTAAGCAACCACAGATGCAGAAATACTAAAAGTGAATGGCATAGGCATATCATCAGCAGAGACATTACTTTTGAAAACCAAACATAAAGTACCTACTACTAAAAAAGCACCTATCCAGCATTGTGAGTAATATAAGGATACTCTCTCCTCAGCTGCAAAGAGTGGACCTTTAGACATGGCCCCATATCTATTTTCTGAACAAGAGAAAACACAAGATTGACATAAAAAATCCTAAAGTCTAAAAAACTTAAAAAGAAAACAAGAAGAAACAACAAGTTTGAAATTAGAAATCCCGAAGTCTCAATAACTTGCAGAGAAAACTAGAAACAAGTTTCTGCATTTCAAATGTGACCAAAAGCTGAAGTTGAACATAAAAGAGTTTACCACATAAAAACATTGATACCTATGAATACTACAAAAGCATATAGTATCTATCTAAGAAACTCAACAAAATACCTTCCTCAATGCATAAAATGATATGTATCATACCAGTTGACAATAAAAAATAGGATTATAAAGGAGAAACTAATTAAATTTATAAAGAAACATGGATCACAACCAAAAATACCTAGTATATTTGTCTTACATCTTACATACCCGTGATAAATAGAGAATTTAATGCTGTAGCACGATTTTCTCTATGACACCTCACAGGTAACCAGAATAAGCAATTGGAAGTAAACAGAATTGGAAGTAAACAGAAACGGCATCCCTATCACTTGAATTTATATCTCTTCCAAATATACCTATGATAAAATAGAAGACTTATATCCATGACCCTTGTTCTAATTTATACAGATAATAGTCTACAAAACTGACCCAAAATAGCTAATAATAATATACTAATGCTATTCCTGCACAACTACCACTTCTTTTCTATTGTTCTTTACATTTCATTAAAAACCATTTTCAAAATGCTTCCAGTAGCAATCTTCATAAATACAGAAACTCAAGCTTACCACTAATTCAGCAACTTTCCACTGTCCCTCTATCTCAGAATCCCATTTTTCACAATAAAACAAATGACGAAACTTTCAATTCGTCTCTTCTTAATTAGGAGTTAGGGCATAACAAAAACCAGATGATGTGTTGCTCCCACACTCACCCCAACTTAACCAATCTCTCTTTCTAAACTTCTCCTGCTTCTAAAACACCAAATTCCTCAGAAACCAAACACAGATAAGCAATTCGAATTCATAAACTAGGGTTCAAAAGGAAAGAGATGGGTATGAATCATTTAACAATCAATGAAAAAGATAAAAATAATAATAATAATAATAAGGAATCAATCAGGAGAATACCGTTAATTGGAAGAACTCGTGAGGACAAAGGCCAAACAAGTAGAGGCGGCACACATCGCGATTGTAGTACTTCCGATTCACCTCCCTTACGTCGCCATTACGGTACGCACCCATCAGCACATCGAGCTGCTTCCGAAGTGTTATGGCACTTCCTAAAATGACTTGGTTATGATACTAATGGTTACAGAGTGGTCATGAATCTGAAAAGCACAATGCTAATGGTTCTACAAATTGAGATTAAGAAGATTGTGGCTCATGATCCTTTCTGCTGAAATTTGATGGTGAGTTGGTCTATTTTATATGGTTGCTGAGCAGTGCTAGGGGCACTCGACTCCTGCACTCTCCCGCCAACACTTCCATTTTTATTGGGCCAATTATTTTGATTTAAGAGGTTGCGTTCCAAAAACTCATAAGCAAGCTTACGTGGCCCAATGAAAGTGGAAGTGTTGGCCGGAGAATGCAGGAGGCGAGTGCCCCTAGCACCGCTCATGCTTCAATCTTCTTTACGGTCTACGTTTGTCTAATAAAAGTTCATCTCTCTCAGTCTCTTGTATATGTAGAGTCATATTGGGATGTTTTCTTAATTAATTCCTTCCCGCATTGTTTGGCACCCAAAATGTTACCTCATTTCCTAAAACTGATATATATATATATTTTGCCCATTTGCAAATTATGGTGTTCA